AAAAAAACAAAACAAAAAAAAAACACTAAACATCTTAAAAGCTAGAAATGTTTTACTCTTTAAACTTTTAAATGCAGAAAAAATAATTCAATTTTAAAAACCAAAGCAGAACCCTTTGCTGGTCAGACAAACCTGTCTACAACTAGACTCCTTCCCAGGTCAGCAGTTTGGTGCCTGTGCTGGACAGCTGCCCCTTTCTCCTCTAGTCTTCCCCTGCCCCTCCCCAGGCCCCTGTGCCCTCACCCCCCCACCTCACGTTAGAGGCCAACCAGGCCTCCCTGGGGTCCCGGCCGAGCCCCAGGCCCAGCCCTCTAACACTGGCCCCGTGTTTTTCTGGTAGGTTCCCCAGACTCGCGCTACATCCGTGTGGAGACGTGCATGTTTATGATCAAGCTGCCCCAGTACTCCTCCCTGGAAATCATGCTGGAAAAGCTTCGTTGTGCCATTCATTACCGTGAAGACCCCCTAAGTGGCTGAGGGGAGGGAGCCCAGAGTTAGGCTGTCACTGAGGCACCACTCTGCCAGCTCGGGGAGCCTGCCGCTGCAGGCACGGCCCGCCGGGGCCCTGCGTGAGGAGTTGGCGACGTTTTGCTTTTCTGAACCTTTGTCCACATTCCAGGGCCTCCTGGAAGACTTAACCTTTTGTATTTGTACGTTTCGTGATGGGTTGGTTCTTTTGCTACCTGTTTATGGTATGGTTGTAGGATAGTTTAGTTCCCAGTTTGTGTCTCATCTGATCTTCCTGGACATTGTCCTTTGTGGCCACCGGATTCTATGCCCTAAGGTCCGCTGGTTCCGCATCATGGAACCACCCAGCAGGAAGCTGGTGGTGAGATGCCGTCGGCCACACGCAGCATCCTGTTCTTCTGCAGAGCGGCTCACAAACAAGCCTGTGGCCAGCCCGCCCCTCGCCTCCAGCTGGAGCTTCTCCTGGACATGGCCCCTGCAGGCCGTCTTCCATCTTGAAATGAAATGGTCAGGCCAGTTACCCAGACGTGGGAGGTTTGTGTGTTTATCTTTCAGCTTTAGAACCTTGTTCGTGGTTTGGGTTTTTCTGAGGGAAAGCCCGCCATGGTTCTCCGTCCCTTCCCCCCAGACAACCTTCTCTGCTCTCCGTCTCTCTGGGGCCTGGTCGGCGGACAGTTTCCGGGTGCTCCTGGGGAGCAGGAGCCCACAGGGTTCACTCCCCACCTTGGCTCCTAGAGCCAGGCCAGGTGCGTCCCCACTTTAGACGTTGAGAAGACACTCGGAACCGGAGGGACAGTGCTTGAGTGAGGGTCTTTTCCGAGTCTGAACAGGAAAGCACATGATTCTTTTGTGCTCAGCGACGGCCCTTCCTCACTGCAGTGTTCGTGATGTGAGGAAACGAGGAAAGGGCCACACGCTCATTTTAAAAAGAGCTGACTGTCTGAGGTGCTCTGCTCAATTCGGGGTCTACTTCAGTGACTAAGACCTCCATGTCCAGATGGAAACACAAGGGGGGTCCATCCTCCTGCCCCTCTGGCTGGCCCCCCCCCGGCACCCCCGCTGCCCCGTGTAAGTGTGTGCCAGGCCTGGGCTGCTCCAGGCTCACCCACTGCCCCAGTGCATTTGTGCCCCAAATCGGTCTCTGTCCAGTGGTACTTTGTTCAAGAGCAGCATATGCCATCCTTTTGGACACTGTCATTTCGGGCCTTGCCAGTCCTCACAGAATCACACCGCTGTATTTATTGTATAATATTGTGAATACTGGAAGCTCTGAGTGAGTGCTGTTAGGCGGCTTTGGAGTGTGAATGCTGGGGAGAGGAGGACAGGCTCCCCCTTGCTTTGTGGCCGTGGCCTGTTGGAAAGACCGTGGATCTTAGCGTTAGAGCCGTTAGCGCCCATCTCCTTCCTATTATTCTTAGGAATTGCATCAAGGACCATTGTAGAAAAGATTCCCCAACCGAAGGAAAAGATAAGCCGGGGTCGATCGTCCCAGTGCATCACTTACATGTGAGGCCGGATCCGTGTCTGGAGGTGAGTGCCTGCAGCTACCCTGCTTGGAAGGAGTGTGGTTGGCCACTGCCTCCCGGGGTCGCAGCAGGATGTAGTCCTGACAAGGATCCTCGTATTTCCTTTCTGCATAATGAAAGAGCCTTTGGATTTACTAGAAGTGGTTCTTCCTCCTGTATTTTTCAATTCTTGGTCCCCTCCCATCCCTCCCATCCCTTGAATGGACTCGGAATTCTGTCCGCTACCTCCCCAAGAGGGATTTGGGAAGCTTCTGTGGGCTCATCACTTGATTAGGTGACAGCTGTGAGTAAGATATCTGCTGCTAACGTGGTTGCTTCTCCCAGAGAGCACATTGAGGTCCAGACAAATCCAAACCTTGGCCCTAAAAAAATGTGTGCTGTAAAGTTACTTGATGTATATTTATTATAATTATTTATGGTTGCATTTAACAAACTTTTCATTCAATTTGATGCTGTTTACACCATTGCTGTGTAAAAGGAAGCTCACTACAGGAAAAACAAGTCGCACCAATAAATAACCTTCATCTAATTTTGATTTATCCTAAGAGTTGTGTGATCATCTGCTTTTTTTAAATTTGTGATTTTTCAAGTACAGTTGACATTCAATATTAGTTTCAGGTGTACAACACAGTAGACATTCATATAACTTATGACGTGATCACCCTGTTAAGTCTAGTCCCCACCTAACACCATACGTAGTTATTACCATATTATTGCCTGTATTCCCTGTGCTGTACTTTACATCCCCATGACTTTTTATAACTGGCAATTTGTATTTCTTAATCCCTTCACCTGTCACTCATCTTCCCAACCCCTCTCCCATCTGGCAACCACCAATTTGTTCTCTGAATCTGAGTTTGTTTCTGTTTTGTTTTTTTAGATTCCACATATAAGTGAAATCATATGGTATTTGTCTTTCTGTCTGACTTATTTCACTTAGCATAATACCCTCCAGGTCCATTCATGTTAGTTATCGCAAAGTACAAGATTTCTTTCTTTTTTATGGCTGAGCTTGTACTCCATTGTGTGTGTGTGTGTGTGTGTGTGTGTGTGTGTGTGTGTAGAGAGAGACAGAGAGAGAGAGTCACATCTTCTTTATCCAGTCGTCTATTGATAGGCACTTAGGGTGCTTCCGTATCTTGGCTATTGTAAATAATAATGCTGCAGTGAACATACAGGTGCATTTATCTTTTCAAATAAGTGTTTTGGATTTCTTCAGATATATACCCAGAAGTGGAATTGCTGAATCTTAAGGTAGTTCTATTTTAATTTTTTGAGGAACCTCCATACCGATTTCCATAATGGCTGCACCAATTTGCAATCCCATAAACAGCACAAAAGGGTTCCCTTTTCTCCACACTTATTGACTTATTGATGATAGCCATTCTGACAGGTGTTAAGGTGATACCTCATTATGGTTTTAATGTGCATTTCTGATGTTGAGCATCTTTTCATATGTATTGGCCATGTGTATGTCCTCTGCCCATTTTTTAATCAGGTTTTTTTTTTTTGTTAAGTTGTATGAGTTATTTATATATTTTGGATATTAACCCCTTATCAAATGTATCATTGGTGACTATCTTCCATTCAGGTTATCTTTTGGCTTTGTTGATCGTTTCTGTCACATTGTAAAACCTTTTTAGTTGATGTAGTTAGTCCTGTTTATTTTTTCTTTTATTTGCCCTGCCCGAGGAGACAGCCAAAAAAAAAAACCCCAAACTATTACTAAGAGGAACGTCAAAGAGTCAACTGCCAATGTTTTCTTCTAGTTTTGTGATTTGGGGGTCTTACATTTTAAGTCTTTAATCCATTTGAGTTTCTCTGGTATATGGTATGAGGTGGTCCAGTTTCCCAACACCATTTATTGAAGGGACTGACTTTACCTCAGTGTATATTCTTGCCTCTTGTCATAGATTAATTGATCATATAGGTGTGGGTTTATTTCTGGGCTCTGTAGTCTGTTCCATTGATCCATGTATGTGTCTGTTTTCACGCCAGTACCATGCTGTTTTGTCATTTAAGGCCACTGTTTCCTTGTTGATTTTCTGTCTGGATGAACTGTCCATTGATGTCAATAGGTTGTTAAAGTCCCCTACTATTACTGTATGACTGTCAGTCTCTCCCTTTGAGTTCATCAATATTTGCTTTATATATTTAGGTGCTCCTATATTGGGTGCATAAATGTTTTCAAAGCTGATATCCTCTTGTTGGATTGATGCCCTTATCATAATGAAATGCCCTTCTTTGTCTCGTTACAGCCTTTATTTTAAAGCCTATTTTATATAAGTATTGCTACCCCAGCTTTTTGTTTGTTTGTTTGTTTCCATTCTCATGAAATATCTTTTCCCATCCCTTTCTTTTTAGTCTGTGTTTTTCAATCTTGGTTGTAGATCTTTTTCATCACTTTGAATATTGTCACAATCCCTTCTGGCCTGCCAACTTTCTGTTGAGAAATCAGGTAAGTCTTATGGGAGCTCCCTTGTAGGTAACTAGGTGCCTTTCTCTTGCTGCTTTTAGGATTCTCTCTGGAATTTTAATTATGACATGTTTTGGTAAGGGCCTCTTTGGGTTCATCTTGTTTGGCAGTCTCTACACTTCCTGGGCTTGTATGGGCTTCTATGTCTTATTTTCTTTGCCAGGTTAGGGAAGTTTTCCGTCATTTCTTCAAATGGGTTTTTGTTTTTTAAGATTTTATTGGGCAATTGGGGTAGGGGAACAGTGTTGGGGAATCAGGGAAGGGGAACAGACAAGTTGCTGTCCTTTTGTTCTTCAGTCTAGTTGTAGAGGACGTTGCTTCACTGGCCCATGTTGGTATTATCATTGTACTCTTCCCAGGTGAGGCATATCAGTCGCCGGCCACTGGATGGCTGCTCAAGGTGACTCTTGGCCACTCATGCCAGCTGCCAGCCACTCATGGTAGCTTAAGGCAGCCCACTGCAGCCCTATTGCAGCCTGCACCGTCGCCGGTGACTCACAGCAGCCCAGCTCCAGGTCGAGCTGCTGTTCACCATTTTAGCTGTAGAGGGCGCAGTGTCACTGGCCCTCATGTGGGATCTTAACTGGGGCCCTGCTGCTCAGAGCTGGCGGCCCAAGCCAACTCAACCGGCCGGCCCTCAAATGGGTTTTAAATTCCAAATAGGTTTGCTCTTTCTCTTCTCCTGGTACCCCTATGATGCAAATGTTGGTATACTTGATGTCCCAGAGGTCCCTATCTTTTAAAAAATTGTTTTTCCTTTTTGTTGTTCTGATGGGGTGTTTTTTACTACCTTGTCTTCCAGATCACTGATTTGATCCTGTGCTTCCTCCAATCTGCTGTTGATTCCTTCTAATGTATTCTTCATTTCAGTTATTGTATTCTTCATTTCTGAATGGTTCTTTTTTGTTTTCTACCTCTTTATTGAAGTTCTCACTGAGTTCATTTATTGAAGAATAAACTCATTGAGCATCCTTATAACCAGTGTTTTGAACTTTATATCTGGTAGATTGCTTGTCTCCATTTCATTTAGTTCTTTTTCTGAAGTTTTGTCCTGTGTTTGTCTCCTCTTTTAGCTGACTCCAGTGTGTGTGTGTCTATATATCAGATCTGCTATGTCTCCCAGTCTTGGCAGAGTGGCCTGTGAGGCCCAGTCTCCCTGGTCACCTGAGCTGGGTGCTCCAGATGTGTCCCTGTGTGAGTTGTGTATGCCCTTCCATTGTAGTTGAGCCTCGATTGTTGTTGGCATATCAGTGGGTGGGTCTGACTCTCAGGCTGGCTGACTGTGACTACAGCGGACAACTCTTGAGCAGGGGCTGGCCCCGTGGAGTCGGAGTCACTTTAGCGGGCTCTGGTGCCTGCCAAGTCTGCCCTTCAGGTGTGTTTGTGGAGTTGGTTGGGTGGTTTTCTGGTGTTGTCTAAAGCTAGTCACCAGGTGTGTTGATTCTGGAGTCTCTTAGGAGAGGCTCCAGTGCAGGACAAGGTCAAGCAGTTTGAGTCCAGCTTGGGGCCGCCTGGTAGGAGCTACAAACTGATCTGCAGCTGATTGTCACTTTTGCTGAGCTTGGTGGCGCTTGGGAGAGGCTATACTGTGAATCGAGGCTGGCTGCCACTGTGCTGAGCTTGGGACTCTTTGGTGAGCACCATGACATAAGCTGAAACCAGCTGCCAGTTGTGCCAGGCTTGTGGCCGCTTATTTGAAACTACATTCCAAGCCAAGATTGGCCACTTAGCAAAGAGATACAGGGTACAGAGCACGCCGAGGCCAGCCACTGCTTGTTTGGGGTTTGTGGACCTTTGAGAAATTTTAGGAAAGTCCACGTGTGAGCCGATGCAGCCCACTTGTGTAGAAAAGCCACTGGAAGTTTGGCCAGGCACACAAATTGGGTGGGGTGGGTTTGTAATTATCTACTCTTACTGAGGAGATTCAAAGGCTGGTATGCTTGAATGGCTGATACTGAAGTGCCTCCAAGTAGCTAGGAATTAAAGTATAATTATGGTCTCTTTGCACTTGATGTGATTCTTACCCCATTATGTTCATAAACTACCCATTCCCTCCATTTGACCCCTCGAGTCTATGGTTTTCATATAGAAAGTATGATTGAACAGATGGAAATCCAAGGTCAAAGCTAAGCCTAACCCTGTCCTTGAGCTAGTCTATGCTCTTGTGCTGGTGTGAGATTTCCCTCAAGTGGACTGTTGCACTGAGAAGGGTCTGGGCCCTCCTTAGACTACATGTCCTCTTGTAGAACTAGGGCTGACCCTGGGACAATGCCAGTTTGACCTGTGCAGATCCACTTATGTGTGGATTTGTTTTTCAGTTGACCAGTTCAAACCCACTCAAGGGTCAACTGGCAGTTAGGGATCCTAGTGTGCAGAGGGCCGACTTAACTTATACGTGTTTTCGACTGCACAGGCGGTTGGCACCCCTCACCCCCAAGTTATTCAAGAGTCAACTGTACTTTGTGCAAGAGGGAAATGCAGGGAAGAGATAAAGCTTAGGTCAGCACCACCTTCCAAGATGGACACTCTGTCCTCTTCCTGCACAGCCATTCCCACCGCCCCACACCCCAAGGAGCCCTGTGGGCTTCACTGAGGGGAATCCAGGTTCCTTGACTTGCTTCTCCTCCTCCAGTTCCAGGGGAGTCTGCACCCAGCCCCACTTCATTCTAATTCTCTTCACTCTACCTTTCCTGTACTTCATGGAAGTATCCTACACATGTCTTTACTGTAGAAAGAGCAAGAACCCTCTCAGATGAGGACCAAGCAGCTCTCCTTCTCCTGTTGCTACAAGGTGGAAATGGGGAGCAAACCCACCACTCACTGAACACAGCTTGGTCAGACATGAGGGGCTAGGGCATCAGATGCCTCAGCTCTCTGCCCAGCTGAGCACAGCAAGGACTCTCCTGCCTGCCAGGGTGGCTGAGGCCATCTTGAGTTGCCCCTTAAAAAATAAGTATATTCACAATTACACCAACCAAAATTAAAATTACAAGATGCTACACCAGCACCAAAAGGGCTAGAAAGACGGTTGGGGAAGATGTGGATACACTGCTGTGGGGACCGGAACCT